AAAACAGAAAAAGGATAAAAAAAAGTTAAGGCCATATCAGTCGCTATAGTAACACTCAAACATACCATGATAAAGAACTAGCAGATAAATAAAGAAATTTGAAAATATTCCAAAAGAATGAATAAAGGCCAGGCACCAGTGGTTCATATCTTTAATCCTAGAGATTCAGGAGCCTAAAATTTGAGAATAGTGGTTCAGAACCAGCACAAAGAGATAAATCTGAGACTCTTACATTGAATTAACCAGCAAAATGCACCAGGTGTAAGTACATCCCAGGTGTAAATACACCAGACTTAAATGAAAAAGCTAAGCAAGAGCTCAAGGTCCTGAGTTTAATCTCCAGTGCCAGCATAAAAATGAATAACGAAGAGAAATCCACTATTATAGGATAGTGTCAAAATCAAATGAGATTGAAGAGAAAGTCTCATTAACAGGAATAAAACTAATTAAAGTGAGAGAGTACAGAGCAGACCATCCTTTAATGCTGATAATTTGTAAGAGTACATTGTTCCAGTACACATCTTTCTACTGTTTCTCTTGCCTACGAGACTAACTGAAATGAAAATACAAAAACCTTATCTTTCTTTTGAATCTCTAATTCCTTCTATGAATTTCTTCACACATAAATCATTTGTTTCTATCATTTCAGGAGCCTGTAAGAGGTAATTAAAGTCATGAGGCTTGAGTCGTCACAATTAGGATTGGCACCCTTTTAAAAGAGAGCTCTGGACTTTTCTGACACCCTCATCTAGACTTAAAGCCTCTAGAACTGAAAAATAAAACTTCGTAAGTTTACAAACCGCTTAATCTGCAGTACTTTTTTTTTTAACAGAAGCTTGAACTGACTTAAGGTACTGCTGCACTCAGTCTATTTTAATTAACACATGTAGATGCAAGGAAAATAAATGACAATAACAGAATGAGGGTGAAAATAGGTCTGGCACGGAGGACCTACTGAGTCTGAGAGAGTCTCTAGAAGAGTCCAGTTAATTTTCTTGAAACCACTGTTATTCAGTACTGTACCACTGAAGGACTTTTGGTTGTTTCTACAAAAGCTTACTGAGTATCTAAATCGTATTTCAAACATGGAATTCAAAGTCTTATTTATACAACAATCAAAAGTCATACTGACTATGGGCCAAAGGCTTTTTTTCCTCTGTCACACTTGGTCTCTCAACTGAAACATTCTCACTAACATTACAATGTAGAAATATAAACTATTCCTAGTCAATATGAGCTTAAGACAACTCTCAATCTATCTGCATATTCAGTAGCAGTGGCAGCTGTTCTATTTTAAACTGTCACATGAGCAGACAACATAACTAAGTGCAAACTCAATCTTCAGGGATCCTAAGCTACCTCAAGGCTCAGATCATAAATTCCATAAAAGGAAAGTTTATCTGACCTTTTGTGGACATTATTTTTTCACCTTATCCATTAAACCAACCCTGGTCTTAACACAAAGTTCTTATTTGATATTCTATAATACTATCTAACTTTCTGTTGTTGCAGTTGTCAAATTCTATTTTTTTCTATCTTATTTTTTGCTATTAGTAATTAATTTCTACTTAAAAATAAAGAAGAAGAAGAAATCCAAGCTGGATGTGCATGGCTCATGCCTGTAATCCTAGCTACTCAGTAGGCTGAGATCTGAGGATTGCAACTTGAAGCCAGCCCAGGCAGAAAGTCCCCGTGAGACTCTTACTTCCAATTAAACACTCAAAAGACAGACGTGGCACTGTGGCTCATGTGGAAGAACATGCCTTGAGCACAAAGAGGCTCAGGGAGAGTGTCCTGTCCCTGAGTTCAAGCCCTAAGACTGGCAAAATTAGTGAACAGTATTTCTAGCTTCTATGGACTAGAAAGTTATTTCAAAACAAAATATATATGAAATGGTTTATAAAATAGTATGTTGAACATTTATTAGAAACATTTAAATCTAAATCAACAGTATTACACACTCATTTGATACGGCTAAATAGCTGACAAGAAATTTATTAGCTAGGTTCAGTTATCCAAAAGTTATTAAAGAATACAATTTTTATAGTCTAGTTTCATTTATGGATATATTTAAGGACATGCTGGCATTAGCTGTTAAAATATAAAATTATTTTCAACTGAAGATATGTTTTTCAACATCAAAATGAACAGAGCTGTGCACCAGTGGCTCCCACCTGTAATCCTAGCTACTCAGGAGGCTGAGATCTGAGAATCATGGTTCAAAGCCAGCCAGGACAGGAAAGTCCATGAGATTCTGATCTCCAATTAAGCACCAGAAAACTGGAAGTGGTGCTATAGTTCATGTGGTAGAGCACTTGCCTTGAGCTGAAGAGCTCAAGGATAGGGCCCAGGCCCAGAGTTCAAGCCCCACAACCAACAACAAAAAAAAAGAACTGAGAAGTTTGCCAAAGAGTTTTCTCTATATGTAATCATGATTTAGTTGTTTTTTTTTCCTTAATTTGAAAAAAGGTTTATTTTTGAACTACGGGTATTACTTGAAGAGCAAGAGCCCAAGTTCAAGCTCCAGAACTACAAAAAAAAACAAAAAAAAATCTAAAATGCCGAGACAATTGCTAAAAAAAAAAAACAAACCACTTAATCATATATAATAGTATTCAGTTACTACCTATAATCCATTTTAGAACCACATTATAAATAAATAAAAACCTCCAGATTCGCCCAATTAATATGTATTATCTAAAACATTCACTTTGAAATATGACCTTTGGAATATTTAACAAATCCTAAACCAAGCACTGATATCTCATGCCTGTAATCATAGCTACCCAAAAGGCTGAGATTTGAGGCTTACGATTCAAAGCCAGCCTGACTAGAAAACTCTAGGAGACTCTTATCTCAAATTATCCAGCAAAAAGCTGAAAGTGGAATATGATCCAAGTGGTAGAGTTCTAGCTTGGAGCAAAAAAGCAAACAGGAGCATGAGGCCCTGAGTTCAAGCTTAGAGCCAGCACAAAATTTAAAATGTTTTAAAAGTTAAAAAAAAATCTTAAAAGGTTTTAGATAATAACATGAAGAGTCTGAAGGTAATCCTCTATGCAGAAAAGCAGTATCCATGTACAAAGAGTTCTCTTTTAGAAAAGGAAGTCTGTGGGGTTGGTAAAGTGCTAGCCAAAGAGTGAAAGCAAGAACTGGACTCCGACTTAAAAAAAAAAAAAAAAAGGAGATGCCAGGCACTGGTGGTGGCTCATGCCTGTAAACCCTAGCTATACAAGAGACTGCAATCTGAGGATCAGGATTCAAAGCCAGCATGGGCAGGAAAGGCCATGAGACTCTTATTTCCAATAAACCACTAGAAAACCGGAAGTGGCGCTGTGGAGCCACTCTCCTTGAGCTGAATAGCACGCAGGGACAGAGCCCAAGCCCAGAGTTCAAGCCCCACAACCAACCAAAAAAAAAAAAAAAAGGACATTTGCTTCTAATAAATAGCACTGTATCCAACAACAAAATAAATTGTCTTATGAGGTAGTATGATCTTTCACTTAACATATTAAGTTGGAATTAGTTATGCATAGACAGTTAAAGAGATAGATATCATGATATGAAAAATACCATAAAGGGCTGGGAAGGTGGCTCAGTGGTAGAGAGCTTGCCTTGCATGCCTGAGGCCCTGGGTTCGATTCCTCAGCACCACATGAGAAAAAAGAAAAAAGCCAGAAGCGCTGGCCTTGAGCTGAAGAGCTGAGGGACAGCGCCCAGGCCCAGAGTTCAGGCCCCACGACAGGACCCCCGCCCCCCAAAAAAGAAAAATACCATGAAATTCTAAACCCTAAAGATAATTCAGGCTATTGACAAATGGATATCAGCAAAAATCACATATTTAAGAAAACAATTTTTGCCAGGTTTTAAGAACTAAATAAAAATCTGAGAAAATATTAATCACAAAGAATACTAATGTATTTTCCCCATTTATAGCATATACTAAACCTATTAGATTATAAAACCATAAATAAGAGCATTTTACTAAAGTTTATTTTCAAAACTTACCAGAATTCTGTTGGATTCCCCACCGTAATCTCATCTTGAATTGCCGAGTACCACTTTGCTGGAGTCTTCTATTTAGTCTTGGAAAATTCTGCTTCTTTCCTTCCTTTCGATTCAATTTGATAATGTCATCTACAAAGGAGTAAACACCATAATAATCACTTTCACTTAGTGTCTATTGCTCACACCCATTTTATTTTTTTATTTTTATTTATTTAGTTTATTTTTGTCAGTTGTGAGGCTTGAACTCTGGGCCTGGACACTGTCCCTCAGCTCTTCAGCTCAAGGCAAGCGCTCTACCACTTGCGCTATAGCGCCACTTGCTCACACTCATTTTAACTTAATGACTCTATTGCTCACACTCAGGGCCCTCAAGATATAGCACATGCTGACTCCTTCCTCAGCCTCCAGCATGCAGGGATTTACAGGTATGCCCCATCAAACCTGGCTTCTTTTCTCTATTAAAAGCATTTCCATAGAAAATAAGAAGATAAAGCTTCTGTCAGCCATTTCCTTTGCAATAACCAGTAGGGCCCGGATAATCAGCGGGGCCCAATAGCGTGGCCCCATGGTCCAACCTGCTAGAGGGGGCAGGGCATCAAGGTGAGCCTCACAGCTCCACAGACGGGCATGGGAGAAGAGCAGGGCTTTGAGAGGCTGCCATCACATCAGCGCCCCACAGAGTACTGCAGGAGGAGCATGCCATGCCCTGGGAAGAGGTGGGGAATGCCACCAAAAGGGGGTGGGGTGTGCTATTGGAGGGGGTGGGGCATCGAGCATGGTGAGGTGCAGATTGGGATTGGAGAGGGGACAGCTTGGGGGAGGAGCATGAATGGTGGTTTGGAACCATAAGTGGGGGAGGATGCAGCCTATCTGGGTAATATACAGGCTGTGTGCTAGAGGCCAGGAGGGAGTAGGAGGAAAACTGGAGGACAGTCCGGAAGGAGGAGAGAGGAGTCCAGAGGACACATGGACTCCCGAGGAGAGGGTGTCCGGAGGAGACTGGGGGTCCTAAGGAAAACAGAGGAAGGAGAGGAGTAGGAGTGGAGGGAGAGATGGCAGGAGGGGAAAGCTTGCCCGGGTAGGGCAGGCCTGTGGAGGACACAGCAAGCCTCGGGAGGTCATCTGGGGCTTCTCGAGGACACCATTTGGAGCTTCCTCAAGAAGCCATTTCGGGTCTCCTTCAGAGTTCATTTGGGGTCTCCAAGAGGGGCATTTAGGACTTCCTCTGGAGGTCATTTGGGTCCTCTTCGAGGGGCCATTTGGGACCTCTTCCAGAGGTCATTTGGGGCCTTCCTCTAGAGAGGCCTGTGGAGAGACACCTCCCGGAGCAGAGCATGGCAGGGTCTGTGGAGAGTGGAGAGGCCGAGAAAAGGAAAAGCCTTCCTCTTTGGAGCTTTGCAGACTGACCAATAAAGGTTGGGGGGTCAGGACTGACTAGGGGAGGTTTGGAGGCTTGGCGGTTGAGGCTGCTCTTGGTTCTGGGTATCTAGCCCAGGACAAGATAGTCTTAAGACCCCTTTCTGGCGTAAATAGTGTAAATAAACGTCTACTTTTCACTGTCTGTGCCTCAATGGATGTCTTGCTCTCTGTAGGTCATAAGTTTTGGAGGCCCCAGTGAGATCATCCACCTGGATGGCATCAGGCCTTGGCCCCCGGGAAAACCCCCTTGTAGGTGAATATCTCAGCCATCAGGTGTTTCCCGAGGACCAACATCGACAAGAGTCATTATGGAACCCTTCTAGGGGTGAGTCTGGGCAAGCTTGTCAGCCTGTTTTTAGGACCTCCTTAAAAGGTCATCTAGGTCTTTCTTTTTTCTTTTGGTCGGTCGTGGGGCTTGAACTCTGGGCCTGGGTGCTGTCCCTCAGCTCTTCAGCTCAAGGCAAGCGCTCTACCACTTAAGCTACAGCTTAAGTTTTTTTGGTTTTTTTGGAGATAGGAAGGAGTCTCACGGTCTCTCCTGCCCGGGCTGGCTTTGAACCAAGATTCTCAGATCTCAGCCTCCTGAGTAGCTAGGATTACAGGCGTGAGCCACCAGCGCCCGGCATCTAGGGCTTTCTTGAGGAGCCATCTGAGACCTCCTCTGGAGGTCACTGGAGGCTTCTTCAAGACCGCATCTGAGACCTCCTCCAGAAGTCACCTGGGAGATGTGGGACATGTGGTTAAGAGTCTGTGGCTAAGCCGGGCACTGGTGGTTCACGCCTGTAATCCTAGCTACTCAGGAGGCTGAGATCTGAGGATCATGGTTCAAAGCCAGCCCGGGCAGGAGAGACCGTGAGACTCCTATCTCCAATAAACCACCAGAAAACCGGAAGTGGCGCTGTAGCTCAAGTGGTAGAGCGCTCGCCTTGAGCTGAAGAGCTGAGGGACAGCGCCCAGGCCCAGAGTTCAAGCCCCACGACCGACCAAAAAAAAAAAAAAAAGAGTCTGTGGCTATTTGTGTGTGTTTGCTGATAATTCTATCTGTGTCTTGTATACACCTCTGCTTACTCCTTTTTTCTAGGATAGGAGAACAATGTCCTAAAGTTCTCATAAGTGAAACTGTAACTGAAAAATCTTCTCCCCAGTGTTACAGGATCCCTTAGAAGAAGACCCACCAGTGTACGCTCTCTCCTATTCTGTGCCAGCAGCACCTCCGATGTTAAGTCCCCCCCATACTAGAAGTGGTTCCTTGTACCAGCCTAAGGTGGTACAAGGTGGTACAGTCCCCTTATTACCCTTGAGAGGGGCTCATGGGGGAGACAATGGGCAAGTCCCCTTTCTAGTGTATGTTCCCTTTACAACTAGTGACCTGCATAACTGGAAACAGCAAAATCCGTCCTTTTCTGAAAAACACGAGGGGCTCATCTCTTTACTAGAGATGGTATTTTTTACACACCAGCCCACCTGGGATTACTGTCAGAAACTTTTACAGGTGCTTTTCACCTGGGAGGAAAAGGAGCGAATTCGGCACAGTGCCTTGAAGGTGGTCCTTGGACCAGATGGTTCCCCCACTGATGACCCAGTCCGTTTGGAGCGAGTCCCCAGACACGCCCAAGCTGGGACTACAGCAGAGATGGAGGTAAGGAGGCACTTACCAATTATCATCAGACTCTGTTAGCAGGGATACGGACAGTGGCTAGGAAACCAACTAATTTATCTAAGGTGAGATTGTACAGCTCCCCAGTGAGTCCCCTGCTGCTTTTCTAGAACATCTCTTGGAGGCCTATTGGACCTACATGCCTATAGATCTGATGCCCCAGAGAATCGAGCCCTAAATGTGGCCTTCGTTACCCAGTCGGCCCAGAAGAAAGCTTCAAAAGTTAGAAGGTTTTGAGGGAAAGGTGTTATCTAAGTTGGTAACAGTTGCCCAGCAGGTGTTTAATAACAGAGATACCCTGGAAGAAAAACAGTCAAAGAAGAAGGTTCCAGTTTTGGTAGCAGCACCAGGACAGGGATCAAGAAACTCTTGGCGAAGACAGTATAATTCGTTTGCAAATGGCAGAAGGGAACCTCTAGGACTACATCAGTGTGCTTATTGCAAGCAAAATGGACACTGGAAAAAGGAATGTCCAAAGAGGAGAAAGATGGAAAATGATAGGTTAAGTAAGCACGTTAGTAACCTAGAAACTGTGTTCAACAAAAAATGTGGTGACACTGGCTTGAAAAAGAGTCTGAAACTCCAGCATGTGCCAGTCAGAACCCACAAAGAGGTTAAAAGTGCATCGAACAACACACTGGAGAAAACTAAGAATGATTGGACGTGAAGAAAAGAAACTTGTAAGAGTCAAACATGAAAACAAAATCCTCAAAATGAATCTAGAATCCAAGTACATCAGCCTGGGTGAACATGAGGCAAAGCTGGGGGCCAAAGGTCAGAGGCTGAAGGTGGCACAAGATGCCAGTGATGCCATTCTTGCTGACTACAAGCAAGGCCAGGAGGAGATCCTGATGCTGCACGCAGAAATCAAGGCCCAGAAAGGGCAGTTTGCGGAGCAGACACAGAAGTGCTGTATCAGAGAAGAAGCAGCCAAGAAAAGTGAACAGGAAAACATCATGCTCAAGAAAGAGATTGTTAGCTGGGCGCCGGTGGCTCACACCTGTAATCCTAGCTACTCAGGAGGCTGAGATCTGAAGATCACGGTTCAAAGCCAGCCCGGGCAGGAAAGTCCATGAGACTCTTATCTCCAATAAACCACTAGAAAACCAGAAGTGGCACTGTGGCTCAAGCGGCAGAGCGCTCCCCTTGAGCTGAAGAGTGCAGGGACAGCGCCCAAGCCAAGTTCAAGCCCCACAACCAACCAAAAAAAAAAAAGGAAGAGAGATTTTTACTCTTCAGAAAGAGTTAAAGGACACACATGCTCTGATGGGAAATGCTAGGGAAATGGAAAGAGCATTAGGCAGAAAAACAGAAGAGCTAAACAGTTGAAAGACCTGTCACAAAAATACACTGAAGTGAAAAATGAGAAAGAGAAGCTACTAGAGGAAAAAGCCAAACAGACTGCCAAGATCCTCACCATAACTGTAATGCTGCATGTCCCAATGGAATAGGTGGAGGTGCGGAAAAAACCCTCCCACTGTCTGTGCCTCGATGAATTGTCTCGCTCTCCATAGGTCATAAGTCCCTCAGTGTTCTAAAGAAAAGTTTCTGTAAGAAAAGTTAAAATAGCCAAAGCAGATCAACCAACTAATGAGACTTCTACCAGCTACAGCATTTTCCCCTAGTAAATATGAAAAACCTTATTTTCAAAAATAATTATTATATGCTTATTTTACATAATCATAGAAGTACCCCTCTCTTTAAAAAAGATAACCACCTTTTAGTAAAACAATTGGTACAGACTTAAGACATGACTCAAGTGGTAGAACTTCAGCTGTAAGCAAAAAAGCCAGGTGAGAACACAAGATCCAGAGTTCAAACTCTAGTAACAGCACAACAACAAAAAACCATTCTGAACACATGGTTCAATTAGTAGAGTGCTGGCCAACAAAGCCCTAAGTTCAAACCTACTACCTGCAAAAAGTAATAACCCATTAAAAAAAAACAACTGGAAAAAAACACTGGGGGCATGGCTCAGCAGTTCAAGTTCCAGTACCACCAAATTTTTTGTTATTTTGTTATTTTTGTTGGTCATGAGGGCTGGACTCTGGGC